AATCGCAATAACTTAGTTTGTATGTGTTGATATCATTTTGAACCTAATGTACTAAATATGTATTTATTTTTATTAAGAATTGTAAAGGAAATCGTTTTGAGCCTGACGAATCTGAATATTTTTTAAAAGTAAAGAAGCGGCAAATTGCGTAAGTCAACTATTATTTCTGGCTTTCATTATTTTTAAAGAATACATAAAAATACTATAATACTATAAATTGTTATTTAGGAGTATATTTGCTAAAATTCATAAAGTGTTGAAGTTACCACAGAGTACTCGTTGGGAACGACCCCAACTTTCAAATAAGCGAAATCGTCATTTAAAAGAAATGGGTGTTAATATTTCTTTTTCAAAGTTGATTTTGTAATATACAATTAAGTATATTGTGTTGTTTTTTTGTAAGTTTAAGTGTTATTTGAATTATAAATCATTTATAATATTAACAAATCAAAAAACTCATGATATTTGTTGCAATTCCAATTGTTCTTTGCATATTTTTTATTATTCATATATATATATATATATATATATATATATATATATATATATATATATATATATATATATATATATATATATATATATATATATTTTAAGTTAATTAAGGTGCCCTAAGATGTCCTTACGGTCTTATCACAGAGCACCGCGGAAGAGCATTTAATATGAAGTTCACGCCTCCTACCCAACCGATGTCGCGAAACTTGCTCAGAGGTGGGGTTTGAACCACGAATCCTACGCTTCTAAGGCAAGTGCGCTACCACTGCGCCACGGCTGCTAATATATATATATATATATATATATATATATATATATATATATATATATATATATATATATTATATATTTTGAAAAAAAAGTTTCTTAAAATGTGGGGTATAAGTAAAAGTTGCGAAATTTTACGGAGAATCTAAATCTGTTAAAATTTTTTAAATCAGAAAAATATTTACTTTAGTGATTAGCCTTCTTATGGAGGTGTTAACGGTTTTTATTTCCTTTTAAACGGAATAACAACGTTACCGGACAATACTGTACGTAAAAAAAAACAGACTTTTAAACAACAAAACAAAGTTACATTAAGTTTATAAAAAAATTATTTAACTTAATATGTATGAAGTATTTGAAAAATTTTTGTATTAAATGCGTAAATTAACTTTTTATTAAAAAAAAAGTTTACTCAAATATAATTTTTTTATCTTAATAGTCAGTAAATTAATTTTTCATTTAATTATCTTAATAGGTCAGTAAATTAATTTTTCATTGCCGCATTAAGTAAACAATATTGTTAAATATAAATTTAAGAACTTTTAATTAATTGCTTTCATTCCTAAAATATTTTTAAAATATATTTTTTTCATTACTAAACAATAATTAATTTTCTTTAAATATTTTATAACTTGGAGGAATAATGGTACCCAAAACCAGAATAAGTACAAGTACGCAAATTAGTGTACATTTATGCATTTGGTACAGGAAAGCAATTTGAAGTTTCAGAATTACCAACCAACAAAGACGTTACAAGATATGCAATTTTATTAAGAGAGGGCTGCGAAGACGTAAAAAAGAAATTATCCTGTAAAAGAGATGGCCAAAGATATACTTGCCTTATTACACCAGTGGTCGAGTGCAAATTTGGAATTTACATCACTTAAACTAATTACTGACAAAACAATTTGTGATAAAATAGTGACTTTGTGGAACAACGCTTCAGCAATAGCTTGTCCAAGAAAAAAAGGAGCTAAACAAATATTAAACTTTAAAGAAAAACTTGATAAACTTTTTGATAATCTAGTATGCAAAAGTCCAATTGTAAAATGTGATAATTTTATTTGTTCTGATGATTGTGATAAAGAAGTTCATTATAAATGCAAATGTATCAAAGAGTACAAAATACCATCTATTGACATTAAGTTTATATATTTTCAAAGAATTGAAACTGGAACTGTTAGCAAGTTTCAAATTGGATTACCTGATAGCATTGAAACAGTTCAAAAGATTACTTAGAAAAGATCGAGAAAAATGTTTTGAGAATAAAGATAGCAATGTTATTTTAACTAAAAAACAAAAAATTGAGTCAGATGATATTAACTTTCAAAAAGAAAGTGATTTCAGTAATGAAATAGAATTAAATGATAACATTGATGATATTACTAATGTAGAATTACCTCTAGTGCTAGAGAAACCATCAGGAAAAAAAAAATGTTACAATACCTTAGATATTTCACGCATAGCTATGAATAGCGTAAGGTATAGTTCTTGTAATGTTTTGTCTTTATATTTATTATGAAGAGAATTCGACTATGATTTTATTTAATATTTATTTCAATATTTTTCATATTAAATTATCACAGCTAGTTTAGATATAAAACTCTATATAGTTTTGCGTCGAAACTTCAACTGTAATTAAATTCAGCGCACTAGCTTTTAACCGAGAATCCCTCTTGCGGAGTTCTCTCAAGGGAATTCTTTCGTTATAGTTTTTGTGCAATTCGCAAAAAGGAATTGCTTGTTTTGCAATTGCTAATTGCTATTCTGAATTGTTTTGCGTAACAATCATTACAGTTCTTTTTAAATAAATTTGTTTTTTAGTTATGTATTTATACTTATAAATGTATATATATATATATATATATATATATATATATATATATATATATATATATATATATATATATATATATATATATATATATATATATATATATATATATATATATATATATGAACTTTTTATTGAAAAGTATTTTCTATTTCTATGTAAATTTTACTCACATAGATATGGGGTCTATGCGCGTGCTACAGCTGCAATTGCTACAACAACACTAATTGATGCAGGATTAATAACATCTGATGATAAAAAGTTAGTTATTGACCATAGTAAAGTTTTGAGAGTGCAAGAAAAAGTTACCTCTGATCTTAGTAAGGATTTTGACAAAATAGCAAAAAGTGGAGAAGTGAAATGCATATTTTTTGATGGGAGAACCAATCAAAGCAAGCAAATGATTGAACTTGATAACTCAAATGCAAAATTTCCAGTAACAGTGAAAAAAGAACATTACTCTGTTTGTATGGAACCTGGAGGAAAATATTTATTTCACTTTACTCCTGAGAAAGCAACAAATAGTATTAAACATGCAGAGATTATAGCAAATAAAATTGTTGAATAGCTAACTGAAAGAGGTATTGACAAGTCTTTACTGGCTGTTGGTGGAGACTCTACAAATGTAAGCACCGGTTGGGAGGGTGGAGTCATCAAACATATAGAAATGAAATTAGGAAAAAAACTTGTTTGGCTTATATGTTAACTCCATACAAATGAGTTGCCACTGAGGCATCTTATAACCAATTTAGATGGTCAAACAAAATCGAACAATAAATGGTCAGGTATTATTAGTTCCATGCTTGATCCATGCTCTCGGTGATAAAATAATAAATGACCTGTCTGCTGATCAATTTTATGGTTATAAAGTTGTTTGTGCCATTAGAAGTGGTATTTTACCACCAAAATTTCATTTATTACAAATTGGGCCTGTTACACATTCAAGATGGTTAATTACTGCTAACAGAATATGTAGAATATGGATCTCTAAACATAGAATTCAAGGTAAAGATTTAGAAAATGTAAGATCTATCACCGAGTACATTGTAGGTGTTTATTTTCCTTGTTGGTTTAAGATTAAAGTTAAAAATTCTTGGATTAAAGGTCCTAAACATGTACTTTATCAACTGCAGCAACTCAAGTTTCAAAAAGTAGATGTCATTAAAATAATATCACCCTCTATTCAAAGATCAGCTTGGTTTTGTTTCAGTGAGTGTATACTACAAACATTGTTGTGTTCTAATACTGAAGAGGATAGAAGTGTAGCTATTAATAAGATAAAAGATATTAGAGGTACTGGAAATGAAGATCTACAAAAAGGTGATTCCTCTCCTAGACCAAGAAAAACTCCTGTTCTGAACTTTAATGCTGAAAAATTGGTAGACCTAATATCATGGGAGTCACCGGTTTATGAACTAGTCTTAACTATCTCTTTTACAACATCTGAAATTAATGTGTTTTTATAAAATTCTATGCAGGTGTTGATTTGGCCATGTCATGGACAATCTGTTGAACATTGTGTAAAGCAAGTTACTGAAGCTTCAAGTAGAGTGTACACTACTTGAAAAGAGAGAAGGATTTCTACTCGAACTCAAGAGGCGAGTAAAAAGTTAATGCCTAAAAATAATAGTAAACAAGACCTTGAAAGTTTGACACAAATGTTTTTGTATTAAATTTAAAATATTTATTGAAATAATTCGGGTTTTTTTTTAATATCTTGCTGTATTTCTAGCATCAATACCAATAAAATTATTATGCGATGTTAAGTCAAACTTAAAATACATTGAAAAATATTTTAATATTTATAAATTAATCTCAATCTAATTTCAGTTTTAAATTAATATGCATATTAAAAATAAAATTCAAAGTCTAATTTTGAAATAAGAAACATTTCTTTTATATTTTATACAAATTCTTAAAGAAAATATTATAATATCTAAATTTAGTTTTAATCGACATTTATATTCCAACTGATATTTATCAAACAAAGTAGAAAAAAAGCTTATTAATATCTAAGTAAAAACCGGGTTTTTTTGAGAAACCAGGTCAAAATTTTATTGAAATATAAAAAGTTAAATCACCTCAGCAAAAAATTTTTTAATTCAATTTTTAAAATTCTATTTGGATTCTCCATCAAATTCTGTAACTTTTAGTTACTCCCCAATTTTTTTCTCGAAAAAAATCAAAAATCGACACACCCTAATATATATATATATATATACATATATATATATATATATATATATATATATATATATATATATATATATATATATATATATATATATATATATATATATATATATATATATATATATATATATATATATATATATATATATATATATATATATATATATATATATATATATATATATATATATATATACATACATTAGTAATTGCTTGCTTACAATATATTGAAAAATCGTATTTATGAAGAAATTGATTGGTGGAAATAAAAACGTCGAGAAAATTTAGTTGACTTGGAGAATTTTGGTATTCAATAGTATACTGAATGGCTGTATCTTGTGTATGGTCTCCAATGGCGTGTCATCACTATGTTACCATTGGAGACCTCTACACAAGATACAGCCATTCAGTATACTATTGAATACCAAAATTCTAAAGAAACATTTACATTTTCAGTATACTATTGAATATCAATTATACAAGAAACATAGCTAAAAGTAACTGGGACGCATCAGGAATAGTTGAACACGCCCAACATTGTCGTGGCTCAACCAACTTTAGTAAACCAAAAATTATTTCTATTACTCCTAAT